GCTGTGGGTGCGGCCAATCTCAGGCTGTTTCCCTGCTGTGGCGGGGCTGCGCAGGAGGGGAAATCAACGGGAGGCTGTTTATTGCCATGAGGGTCCTCAGAGCTGTGCTGCCTCCCAGAGGGTTAGGGTGCTCGGAGTTTCCTGGGATTCTCACCTGCTGGGCTGAGTGTGTCAGGATGCTTCTGTCCAGCTGTGAGGCCCCTGTCCCTTTAAGATTTTCAAAAAGCACTCGCTTATTTTTTGTCCCAGGGGCGCCAGCTGTGGGGACCCAATTGCATATTTTACTGTTCCATTTCCCTAATATCCAGAACACCACGCACTGTGTGTCTGCACTCCCCATGCGGATGACTAGGGCTGGCTATTCAGCAGTCCTGGGCTCCCACTCCCTCCCCGCTCTGACTCCTTTCCACCTGCTGGGGAGCTGGGGTGGGGGGTTGCACTCGGGTCCTGCCGGGCCATGGCTTGTATCTTACCCCCTTCGTGAGGTGCTGAGTTCTCACAGATGTAGATGTAGCCTGGCTGTTGTGCTGTATCTTCTGGTCTCTCTTTTAGGACTAGTTGTATTTTCAAAAATATATATGGTTTTGGAAGGAGATTTCCACTGCCCTACTCACGCTGCCATTGGCTCCTCCTCCGAGGGGGTCTCTTTTTAAGTTTTTGACTGAGTCTCCAGCCTGGAAGGAATGTACTGGGGTCCCTAAGGAGATCAGAATTCTTTCAATGGTATGTTGCTGCAGCTTATGTAGGGTGGCTCTTAAGGCTTGGAGCTGTTCTCTTACTCTTGTTTCTTATCTGGCATAGGTTCCCTGGGAGGCTTCCTAGACACAGGGGGGGGGCATCTATACACTAATTGAAAAGGGCAAGAGCCTTGAGTCCCAGGTGTGCAGCGAGCATGCTGGAGAGCCAGGGGCAGGAGGTCCAGCCATGGGAGGCCAGTTTCTTGGCAAAACTTAGCTAGGGTTCTTTTGAGGGTGCAAATCATTTGCTCTACTTTCCTTGAACTTTGTGGCCTATATGCAATGTGGAGTTTTCAGGTAATGTTGAGAGATTTAGTTAAAATCTGTACTGCACCTGCTACAAAGGCAGGTCTATTGTCACTGTGAATTGTAGATGGTAGGCCAAACTGGGGCACAGTTTTTTTCAGGAGGACTTTGTCTATCTCCTGGCTTCATTTTGTCCTGGTTGGGAAGGCTTTGACCTACTCAGAGTATGTACACACTGTTACTAGAAGCTATTTGAGTCTTTTGCTTGGCTGGACATCTGTGAAGTCTATGTCAAGGTTTTCAAAGGGGGCAACTCCTGCTCTTTGGACACCTAGCTGGGCTCATTTCTGGAGCAAGTCATGCACTGCCTACTTACTGCTTGGCATAATGCTGACAACTGGCTGATGTAGTATTGCTTTTTGAGGGCTTCTAGTGCAGTTTTCTCTAGGTGCATGAGCTGATGGTATTTGCTGACTAGATGCTTTCCAGTTGCAGCGGGGACAAAGATGTACCTATCAGGCAGCATCTACTATCCTTTTTTTTTTAGTTAGGGTGGCTCTTTCAGTTCATGGCCCAGTGTTTTTGTCTTTTTCAGTGTACTTGGGTGGAGGGGCTTCCACTGGGTGTGGTAAGGCCATAGTGAGGGAGGGAGCTTTATCTGTTTTTTACTGGCCACTGTTTCAGCTGCTTTATCTGCTAGCTGGTTTTCCTGTGTTATAGAGTTGTTTTTCTTTTGCTGTTCTTTGCAATGCAGAATTGCTACTTTTTTGGGGGAAGCCAGACAACCTTGAGGAGTTTTAGTATTGTGCTAGCTGAGAGCTGGAGAGGAATTGGTGTCTCTGTGTGTTTAAGAAGGACACAACAGTATGGGAGACCCTGACATTTACTTTTTGCCTAGAGTAAGTTTATCTGTTTTTTTAATAAATAGAACTGTGGCTGCTAGTGTCTTGAGACAGGATGGCCATCCTGCCACAGCCAGGTTTAGTTTTTTGACAGGTATGTGACTGGCCACTGCCAGGGCTTAACAGTCTATGTGAGAACTCTGAGGGCTACTATTTTTTCATGTACAAAGAGATTGAAGGGCTATTTTTTAATATCTGGTAAGCGTAGGGCTGGTGCTTGTTCTGAAGAGGCCTTTATTTCCAGGAAGGTGGCTTTTGCTTCTTCTGTCTAGACAGGGGGTTCTCAGTCTGGCCCCCCCACCCACAGGAGGCTGTAGAGGGGTTTTGCCATTGCCGAGAACCTGGGAATCTAGATTTTGCAGAACCCGGAGGCCCCCAGGAACTCTATATGCCCTTCTTCACCTGAGGTAAGGTGGGGCTGAGGTAAGGAAATGATGACCCTTTTCTTCTCTGGCCCTAGTGCCCTTTCTCCTTGGCTGAGGAGGAAGCCCAAGTACCAGACTTGCTGCTGGAAGATTTGTGCTCTTTTTTTATGAGGCTCAGTATCCTGAGTCTGACAGGAGTTGCAGGAGGGCCTTTGTGCCTTTTGCACAATTTTCCTGGGTGTCACTGGCAAGGAGGAAGTCATCTACATACTGGAGGAGGGTGCGGCACATGGCTTCCCTTGGAAAGCTGGCAAGGACTGTGGCCAATGCCTCTCCAAAGAGAGTGGGTGAGTTCTTGAGTCCTTGTGGAAGCTGCGTCCATGTTAACTGCATCTGCCACCCCGTATCTGGTTCAGTTCATTCGAAGGCAAATGAGCTGATTTTGGGGGGGCCAGCCGGAGGCAGAAAAAGGCAACTTTTAAGTGTAGGCAAGTGAACCATTTAGCAGACCCTGGGATCTGGCTGAGGAGGGTGTATGGGTTTGGGACCACCAGGTGTAAAGAGACAGTCACTTTGTTAATGGCTCACAGGTCTTGAATAGCCAGTACCCTCCTCTTGGTATTTTGACTGGCAGAAGCAGGGTGTTCCAGGGCGACTGACACTCGATTAGAATGCCTGCCTCTCTGAATCTGATCAGGTGTTCCTGGACGCCTGCTCTCGCCTCTTGTGAGAGGGGTACTGCCGCTGTCTTTGTGCCTCCGAGAATAGTTGCAGTCTTGTTACTGAAGGGGGCTATAGGGAGGTGACTACAGACTGTTCTGCCCCCGTGTCAACTATAAAAGTCATGTTTTGGCTCCCCCCCGATTTTTATTTTGACCGTGGGCTCCTGGGGGCCAAGAGTGAGAGAGCCCGTCCTTGTCAGTCTGAGTTCGTTCTTGCCAAGCTAATGAGCTTTCCCTTGTGAGGCTCCTCTCAGTAGCGACTGGGCTCTGGGGCTTTGTCTCAGTTGGGGCATTCGTTCTTCCAGTGCCCCTTCTCCTCACAGTAAGTGCACTGGTCCCTGGCTAGGGGGGTCCTAGGCCTCCCTCCTCTTGGTGGCCTGTTTTCCTCTGCTTTTTGGTCATCTCTCTTTCTTTTAGGGCGGCAGCCAGGAGGCTGGCCTTTTTCTTCATTCTTCTTTCAGCTTCTCTGTCAGCCTAAACTTCTCTGTTTAGATATACTTTGTTGGCAATTTTAATTAGTTGAGTGATATTTATCCTGGCAAAGCTTTCAAGTTTTGGGAGCTTTCGTCTGATGTCTGGGGTGGCTTGAGCTATGAATGAGGTGTTGACCATTTGTTGGCTCCCTGGTGACTCAGGGTTGGAGGGGGGTATAGATGCGATAAGCTCCAGTCTTTCATAATAGTCCCTGGGAGACCCTCCTGGTTGTTGCGTGACTGAAGATACTTTGGTCATGTTCATAGGCTTTTTGGACCCAGCTTTGATCCCCTGGAGGAGGGTGTCCTGATAATGGTGGATCTGGTGCTGTACCTCAGGGGTGGTGAAGTCCCACTCGGGGCACTCCTTGGGGACAGAGATTTCAGCCCACACACCCCGATCAAGGACCCCAACTGCCTCCTCTCTTCTGTTGTGAACAGGGTGCGGAGAAGCTGTTGACAGTTTTTTTAGGTCGGCCGATGGGTTTGGAAGAGGGCTTTCATGAGATCAACCAGGGCTTGTGGCTTTTGTGACAGGGTGTTTTTTTAATTGAAGAGGTTAGTCATGGAGAAGGGTTGATAGTAAAGCATGGACCAGCCAGGCTGGATGGTCCTGTCTTTATTACGTCTTTCAGGCTCATGCATCTCTTGCACTGGCATCTGAAGGGTGCCTGTTCCCGGCCGAGGGTGCAGTCTGGCTGCTGGTCTAGGGGAGAGTGGGTCCACTGGTTCTGGAGTTGGTGGGGAGGCTGACAGTGACAGGGTGTCCGGGAGTGGGGGGCTGGGTGCTGATGGCCTTGGGGGCGCATAAGGTGGGGACAATATTGGCTCTTTCTCTGGAGTTAATTTTACTCTGTGGTTTCCTGAAAATTCTTTCCTGAAATTTTTGATCATGGTGTCAAGAACTGTGGGTTTGCTATGCCCTGACTCCATGACATGTTTGTGTAACGCTGCCACAACAGGCAAGGGAGGGGTGCCTCCTCTAGAGAGGAGACCAGTCAGGTGCCTGTCCGTTCCTGCTCTTCTTGAAGACTTTGGTCAGTCTTGACTAAGGTGCACTGTGTAAGTCCCAGGCCAGGTCAGCCGAAGCTGAGTCACCGTTATGTCGTGGTGGCCGACCATGAATACGGCCAAGGGCTCACTCAGATTCTGTAGCATAAGCCGTGGAATCAGATTTCAGTGTAGACTGAATGGCTTCAGCCGCCCCGCACACTCACACACTCAGACCAGAATTTAAACATTCCCCCCCTGGGAATGTCTACCTGTGAGACTTCTAAGAAGTCTCCGGGAGGTGATCAGGCTCCCCTTCTACCCCAATGGATGGGAACTGGCTGGGTCAGGGGCCCTGGGGCCTTACCGGATTTGATGCCAAGCTTCCTTGAGTCTGGCGGGAACAGCAGAGCGGGGCTGGCCCAGGGCACCTGGGCGGAGACTGCCAAAAGATCAGGCAGAGCAGTTTATGTTATTTTGATAAGTGGCATTTTGGCATGCGCAGGGCAAAAGGGGAGCCCAGAGAAGGAGGGGAGGAGGGAGCTGGGGGCGCTCTCCTGACTTTGCCAAGCGGAGGAAGAAAGCAGTTTACTGACCTTGACGGCTGTGTTGAATATTTTCCTTATCAGTACAATCCCAGATGCCCCTTTGCAGGCCCCGTTCTGCAGCCTCAGCCTGATCTTGAAGGCTTGGAGCTGCTGGGTTTTGATCTGGACAAGAGCCGATAAAAGGAATTCTAGGTGGGGGTGGGGGGTAGCTGAGAGATCCGGAGCACCTCCTCGCTCTCCTGATGATTCACCCCACCCCCACCCCCACCCCAAGGATCTCCCGAGCGCAGGGATGTGCACGTAAGCTCCGTGGCTTGTTTTCTCCTAGGGATCAGCAGGCAAGTAGGAAGCAAGAGGCTGAAGAGCGGCAACCTCTGCCAGGGGGTGGAGAAGACGCGGGCTTGCCACACGGCCAGGGCCCCGAGACAGTCACAGGCCATCCCGCGCCGCGCAGAGCCCACCGGGCCCTCCCTGACTCCTTGCGAAACCAGGGCGAGCCCCGGGAACCGCCTGGAGGTAACCGGGCAAGGGGAGGGCGCGGCGAGAGGCCAGGGATACGACCGCTGCCGAGGGGTCCTCATCCCGGGCCCCCTTTCCTCCTGCAGGAGGCGCTGTGGTTGCAGGAAGTCTCCAATCTGTCCGAGTGGCTGAGTCCCGGCTCAGGGCCCTGAGCCCGGCTTCCCCGTGCGTCCATGCCAGCCCCGCGGTAGCGGGAGTTGCATTGTCTGCGAGTCAATAAACCTGCTCCACGCGCGCCCAGTCTGCTTCAGTGTCTGGGGCGGGGCCGGGGGTCCGCGCCGCCATATGACGCCACGGGCTTCCGGCAGGCGCAGGCCGAGAGGCGGCTGGGTCGCGTCACTGCTGCGCGCCGCGGGGCCGGGCGCGATGGCGGCGCTGGGCGGGGACGGGCTGCGCCTGCTATCGGTGTCGCGGCCGGAGCGGCAGCCCGAGTCGACAGCTCTCGGCGGCCCGGGCCCCGGACTGTGCTGCTGGGTGTCCGTGTTCTCCTGCCTCAGCCTCGCCTGCTCCTACGTGGGCAGCCTCTACGTCTGGAAGAGCGAGCTACCCAGGTGCGGGAGCTGCGCGCGCGGCCACAACCCGCGCCCCCGCCAGGCGGGACTGCGGGTGGCGTCGGGGCACACAGAGGGCGGGGCGCGCTGTCCTGCGGCCGCCGGAGGCCCCCTGCGCTCACTGCCCTTTCCGTAGGGACCACCCTGCCGTCATCAAGCGGCGTTTCACCAGTGTCCTGGTGGTGTCCAGCCTCTCGCCCCTCTGCGTGCTGCTCTGGAGGGAACTCACAGGCATCCAGGTGCGGAGGAGGCGGGGCAGAGGGTAACGGGTCGGAGAGCTCAGGGTCCTTGGAGAAGGGAGCGAGACTGATGCCCCCTTTCCTGTGGCTCAGCCAGGCACATCCCTGTTCACCTTGATGGGCTTCAGGCTGGAGGGCATTTTCCCAGCAGCGCTGCTGCCCCTACTGCTGACCATGGTGAGTACTTACCTTCCTCCTCTTTTATTATTAGCATGACGGCCTTTTGCAAGGCTTGGTTTCTTATCATTGTGTCCAGCTTTTGACGGATGGGAGACGGTAATTGTGAGATGGCCCTTGGGCCCTTGTGTATGCATGTGTGGGAAATCCTGGCTGAGAACACACAGCTTGAAATCTCATGAAACCATGGCTGGGCAAGGGCAGTGGATTATGGTTTAAACCTTTCCTTTGGTTTGTTTTCCTGTCCCCAGATCCTTTTCTTAGGCCCACTGATGCAGCTCTCTATGGATTGCCCCTGTGACCTAGCAGATGGGTTGAAGGTTGTCTTAGGTGAGTCCTCAGGGCTGTGGGGGGGGAAAGTAGGCACAGACGGTTCAGGACAACCAGGAAAGGGAATCCTTGGGCTTATGGTGGGATCTGGATACAAGATGTGAGATGTTCTTTTTTTGTCATCACTAAAATGGGAACATACAGTGCGTGGCATGTAAAAGTTAGTTTCTGATGTCCAAGGAGGCCCCTAGGAACCCCAGCAGTATTTTGTGTGGACTAGAGAACATTGTCCCCTGCTTGCCCTAATCTTTGGCTTCCTCAAACTAGAGCTGGTCTTGGGAAAATTTTGATTTTTCTAATATACCACCAGGATACTCCACCTTCCCTTTCTGCTCTTGAGACATTGCTTTGTACTGGGTCTGGTGAACATAGCTCATCCCTTTCCTATTTTCAGGAGTTTTGATGCCTAGCCCGAGTTTGCCCAGGGACGGTTGTGGGAGAGGGGTCCTTGGAGTCGCTAGGATTTCTGTTCAACAACTAGTTCACTGTTGCTTGTCCTGAATCTTCCCCAGCCCCTCGCTCCTGGGCCCACTGCCTCACGGACATGCGCTGGCTGCGGAACCAAGTGATTGCACCCCTGACAGAGGAGCTGGTGTTCCGGGCTTGCATGCTGCCCATGTTAGCACCGTGCACAGGCCTGGGCCCTGCTGTGTTCACCTGTCCACTCTTCTTTGGAGTTGGTGAGTCTGTCCAACCTGGTTCTGTTGAGATGTTCCCAGCATGAGAGCAGAAAATGGGGCTTGGGCTAAGAAAAGGGCCAATGGGGCAGGCTGGGAGGAATGTGACGTGGTTTTCAACTTCCTCCCAGCCCATTTTCACCACATTTTTGAGCAGCTTCGTTTCCGCCAGAGCAGTGTGGGGAGCATCTTCTTGTCTGCAGGTGAGTCCTAGAGAGCTTTCCTGGGGAATCTTGGGTAGGGAATGTGAGGGTGTCCCTGGTAGCTGCTCTGGAGGAAGAACTGGGAGAGGGTGATAGTATTGGAGGGGCCTTTGACCAGGGACAGCCGTAGGTACCGTAGGTACTGGGGCAGGCAGCCACTGCCCCCAGAGGGAAGGGGATGTCTTTGGCTGATGGATGTGCAGTACTGGGACAGGAAGGGCATACAGGTGTGGTCACTCGCGGCCTCCCCGTCTCCAGCGTTCCAGTTCTCCTACACAGCCGTCTTCGGTGCCTACACTGCTTTCCTCTTCATCCGCACAGGTTGGTCCTCAGTCTCTCATGGGTGCTCGAGGGCTAGGGCCCACAGGACTGGGTGGGAGAATGGGAATGCTGTGAGTGTTGTAGGAGTGACAGGTTTCTTCTGCTGCAGTCCCAGAGGCCGACTGAGCTAGGGTAGGGCCCTCGGCCGGGAGAGGTCCAAGAGGTGGAAGGGGGCAGAGGCCGTGGTGTGTGGGTGAATGGGTGGGTCATTGATCTGTTGCAGGGGATGAGGGTCCTGAGCCCTGGAAGGCTGCTCCAGGAGCTGCTTTGTCTCCCCTCCCAGGACACCTGATTGGGCCAGTTCTCTGCCACTCCTTCTGCAATTACATGGGCTTCCCTGCCGTGTGCGCGGCCTTGGAGCATCCACAAAGGCGGCCCCTGCTGGCAGGCTATGCTCTGGGTGTGGGACTCTTTCTGCTTCTGCTCCAGCCCCTCACGGACCCCAAGCTCTACGGCAGTCTTCCCCTTTGTGTGCTTTTGGAGCAGGCAGGGGACTCAGAGGCTCCCCTGTGCTCCTGACCCACATTCCTGTAAATGCACCTATGAACTCTCATGGGCTCCCCAGCCCCTCCCCATCAAAGGGTACTGCATGGGAGGAGCTAGCTGGAGTCCCCGAGATCTCAGGAATTTTTGTAGGGGATTGAAGCCAGAGCTAGTTGAATCCCAGGGACCAAGAGAAAGGAGCAGATATCCAAAGGGTGCAGCCCCCGCTGAAAGGCGGTTGAGCAGCAGCTGGTAGTGAGGAGACGAGGGGCAGGTCCCCGGAGCGTGCACTCCGTTCCTCACTTTGGACTGCTGCTTTTCTGGGCTCCACTGCCCCCTCTGCCTCTAAAAAGCTGCTCACGGAATAGGGGAGGGGTTGGAATTTACAAAATCCCTCCCCCCAACTTCCCAGGGTTTTCTCATTGTCTTTTTGCGTCAGGACTTTGTATTGAGATATTAAAGAAATTTAACTTGGGTAACATGGCTTTGCATCTTTGGGCATCAGTCTGTGGCAGGTCTTGGGAGACAGCCACCACCTGTCTCTGCTACTTGGAGCATTGACCTCTGGGCAGGTCAGTCAGTCTGGTAGGCACAGTTCCCTGGAGCTGGGGGCAGGATGGGGCCGCTGGCTGCCTTGCGTATGTAGCTTCCTCTTCCCTGAGCCAGGCCCCCAGTACCAGCACAGGTACCAGGTGTAGGCCCAGCTCCTCCTGGGGCCTGTGCCTTGGCTGCCGGGACTGGGGAGAGGGACCTAGGGCTCTGACGCTAGTGATGGAGCCTCCAGCCTGTGTCCTCTGAGAGGGTGTCCGTGATGGGGCTTCCACCAGGATCTTCCCCAAAGCCTACCAGCCTCACATTACACAAGAGGAAACAGGTCCCAAATGGTAGAGGAACGAGCCCTATCACCTGTGAGTAGCTTTTCTGGCTCTCTCCACCTCGGACCTCTGCTACTTTGTTGCTTGTCTGGTCACAGAGGGACCCAGAAAAAAAGGCTGCAGTCCTGGAAGCCACCATCCTGCCAGGCAACACTAACCCGGGCTTCTTTCTTAGGACCTGCTAGTGTTCACTTTTTCCTTGTTTTTAGAATGGTTCTCATGTTCTCATCCCTGCCCTGGGACAGTTTTTTAAAAAATTCTTAAAAGGATATTATCCCTTCAGGTGCCATTCCAGGCTCAGGAGGTTGTCCCAAGACCCTTCCCTCAGGCCAGGGGAAGGAAACAGAAGTGCAGTCACTCCCCCTGGCACCCCAGTTGGCTGTGACTAAGCCACACTCACCTCGATGTAAAGGGCATCATGACAGCCCCATACCTGCCTTGCCAGAGTGCCTTCTTGGTCCCCAGCCTGTTCAGAAGATGTCAGGGAGGCAGAGGGGTGAGCATGGGCCTGTTTCAGAAGGTACATTTGGGGTCTTTGACTCACTCAAAAGATTGGGCTGTGGCGCCTCAAGAGCACTGGCCTGGCAGCACGCTGGTGAGGTGCTGCCTGCCTGGTTCCCTGGGCTTTACCTCTCCCTCACAACCCCTGCTGGGAACTGCCTAGACCCCCCCCCCCAGCTTCACTCTCTGTGCCCACCTTGGGCATGTAGGGGTGGTCAGCGGTGCCGCCGTGCAGGCAGGGTTGCTGCTCACCCTGCAGTGAGGAACTGTGGCTCAGGTTTAGGATTTTCTCAAGGGCTGGCTGTGGGATGCAGGTGGGGTTAGATCCCGGGTCTCTTAGTACGGCGCTCCTGACCGTTCACCAGAACCCCCACACCCGAGCCGGATCCACCCCCCGGAAAGCGGTGCTTGTTTGCTTCCAGTCCTGAGCTGACAGGGCGGGCGGTTGGCCCTGGGTCTACGGAGTAAAGCAGCAGGGGAGGAGTCCGTTGACAGCCTGGGCTTGAATCTTCTCTGCCTCTTACTGACTGTGGGACCTGCGACAAGTTAACGTTCCTGTGACTCCACTTCTGAGTCATAAAAAGGGTGAAATTTGATTTCCCAAGTTAATAGATATTAAGTGTTTAATCTCCAACCCCCACCCAGCTCTAACTAGGTAAGAAGTTTAGGATGTTTAGGATGTACATGCAGCAGGCACTCAGTGGCTTAAACCAAGCCCACTGTTGTCATTACCCTCGAAGGAGGTAGATACAGCTGACCTGCCCCCACCCGCCAGGGGGCTCCAGGAGGCAGCCCTGCCCCTCTGCTGAGTGGTGCGCATGGGGGGCTGCACAGGACCCAGCATGGAGGGCAGGGGAGAAAGCCAGTTTTATTGAGCAAAGTTCTCAGGACCTGTGGCTGAGGTCTCCCCCCAAGAGGTAGGACCCCTAAACCTGCTCCCCTGGGTCCCAGGCCCACCTGTGCCACCACCTAGAGTCTCCAGCAAGGAGAGAACCCTTATTTGGCAAGAGATGAATATGTGAGCGACTGTCCACCAGCAGAGAAAAGACAAGTGGCTGGAGGAAATAATGGGCCACCACAGGCAGTGCCCTGCCACAAGCAGAGAACAGGAGCTCCAGAGCCAGGCTTTTCTGCCCTCGGGCACTGGCTGGCCTGGGCCTGCCCTGGCAGCGCAGTGCCTTTTGAAGGCTTGAGGTGGGGATGGCCAGGCTGTGAGTCTATGGCAAAATCACTCAATCTCCAGGATGAGGTCGTCGCCTTCCAGTGTCATGTCTGTGGTTACGTGGACCTTGCGGACAGTGCCCTCCACGGGCGAGGTCACCACAGTCTCCATCTTCATGGCACTGAGCACACACAGGGGCTGGCCCTTGGCCACCTTGGCTCCTGCCGCCACCTTGATGTCTATCACCTTCCCGGGCATGGGCGCTCCAATCTGGCCCTTCACATCCTTCAGGGCCTTGGGGTGGAAGTGCATCTCCTGCAGACGGCAGAGGGGACGTGAGACGCTGGGCCCAGCCCCTCCCCACCACCTGTGATCCAGGGGAGCAGTACCTTCATGGCCTGAGTGTCCTTGACCAGAATGGACCGCAGCTGTCCATTGAGCTCAAAGAAAACCTGCCTCTGGCCAGCACGGTTCAGGTCGCTTACGGCCAGGGCTTTGATGTGCAGCGTCTTGCCCCGCTCCAGCTCCACCTGGAAAGCAGGCGTGGCAGCTCAGAGCTGGGGTGGCGGAGAGCATGCGGAGGGGGGCAGCCCACTGACCCTGGGCCTCAGCACCTCACTTGTAAGAGCCTAACTTCCAGGTCTCAGATGTGCTCTGAGGTGGCTCACACGCCGTGTGCCAGCCAAGCCCCAGCTGGAGCTCTAGACGGGTGAGGGGCCTTAGCGCGGCAGGAGCAGGGTGCTGGGTGGCGCGCAGATGGGCACCAGAGCCACTGACCTCAAACTCATCTGCAATTTTGGGTCCCTGCAGGAAGAGGCGGGTGTTGAGGCTATCTAGGGGTCCAAAGGTGGCAGTGAAGTCCTTGAAGTGGGCAAAGACATCGGGGTAGATGGCTGCTGAGAGCACATCCTCTGGGGTCACCTCCTCGCCATGCCGCTCTGCCAGCTCCTTCTCCAGCAGCTTCAGGTCTCGGGGAGGGAGGGAGGCTCCTGGCCGCCCCTCCACCCTGGGCAGGTCTTTGAGCACCTGGGTTGCAAAGCAGAGGGTCAGGCCTGGTTCCGGTGCCCAGCCCCCACCCCATATTGTGCTGGGCCTTCCCCACCTTGGAGCGTAGGGGCTCAGGGAACCCCCCGTGGGGGATGCCAATGTAGCCCTGCAGGAACTCCACCACTGAGCGGGGGAAGGACAGCTCTTCTGCTTGGGCTTCAGCCTCTGCCCGGCTCAGCCCGTTCTGTACCATGAACTGGGCCAGGTCCCCCACGATCTTGGAGGAAGGTGTCACCTGAGGAGAAGGACCCTGGGTTAGGGTACCAGGCACCTTATGGAGGCTGAGGCAAGGGTAAGAGCACAGGATTTGGCTCACCTTGATGAGGTCGCCCAGCATCTGGTTGGCCTCCACATAGGCCTTCTTGACCTCCTTGAACTTGGAGCCGAGCCCCATGCTGTGTGCCTGGAAGTGCAGGTTGGTGTACTGGCCCCCTGGGATCTCATTCTCATATACATCGGAGTTGCCAGATTTCATGGTGGCAGTGCAGTCGAAGGCTGCGTACAGCCCCCGGGCCCCCTCCCAGTACTCACTGTAGTCAAACACGCGCTCCAGGGGCACCCCTGCAAGGACGCCAGAGGCAGAGGGCTCGGAAATGTGCTGAGCTGCCAGGTTCTCCTCCCAGGACCCTGTGGCCAGCTCTGGCCCCATCCTGGGTGCAGGTGATGGAAGGCAAAACCAGGCAAGAACATCCCGACCCCAGGATGTGCTAGACTACTGGGACTGAGGGGCTGCAGCCTGAAAGGGATGCCACAGGCCATTCCTACCTGTGTCCAGGGCAGTCCCTCGGGTACAGGCCACCAGGGCCCCCATGCTGGGCTGTGAAGTCATCCCAGACATAGAATCCGCTGCCACGTCCACCACATCGGCTCCAGCCTGGGCACAGGCCAGCATGGCTGCCACGCCTGCCCCTGATGTGTCATGGGTGTGGATGTGCAGCGGGAGGTCAGGGAAGCGATCGCGGAGGGAGCTGACCAGCATGGTGCAGGCTGCTGGCTTCAGCAGCCCTGCCATGTCCTGGGGGAAGGAGAAGAAAAAGACGATGGTTAGGAGGGGCATAAAGTGTGCACAGTAGGAGAGATAAGGGGGGGTCAGAGAGGGGAAGATTGGCAGGTGGGGGGACTCCTGGCCATGGGCCAGGCCCAGATACCTTGATGCACAAGATGTGAGTGCCAGCTCGCACCAGCTCTTCAGCCAAGCTCATGTAGTACTGCAGTGAGTATTTGGTGCGGCTGGGATCGGCCACGTCCCCCGTGTAGGAGATGGCGGCCTCCACCACGCCACCAGCACTGCCGGCTGCCTCCATGCCCAGCAGCAGGTTGGGCAAGTAGTTGAGGGAATCAAAGACCCGGAAGACATCCATGCCATTTTCCTTGGCCACCTCACAGAACCTACGTGGGTAGGAGAGCCCAGGGATCAGCCCCATCCCACTCCCTACCGCACTTCCCTCTGGCACCAGGCCCACCAAGGAGATCAAGAAGGCAAGGCCTACATGGAGGCCAGCCAGATGCCGGTGGGAATGAGCTCTGAGTGTCTGCCTGGCAGGGGGTGGGGGGCGAGGGTCGATGGGGATAAGGCTCCTCTAGGGCGGCCTGGGCTGGGCAGAGCCATCCTACGCGGTCACAGCAGTGCAGCTCAGCCTGCCCAGCCAGAGGAGCAGCTGTAGGCTCTTTGCTTCAGGAGTGGCGGGCTGAGGGGAAAGGGCACCGAGCACGGCGTCCTAAGGCCTGGGCTCCCATCCCGGCTCTGCGCTGCGCGGTCTTGGACAGGCCACCTGCCCTCTTGGCGTTCCCACTGCCCATAATCTAGCAGTCTTTGTAGTTCTCTATGATTCTGTACTTTTGGACATTTCCAAATACAGCCTTTGCTGGGTGCAGCTCCTGAGGGACGGCGCAGAGCCCCCTGGGGAGTGTCTGCCTGCCCCGCCCAGGCTCACTTGAAGACCACGTTGTCAGGGTAGTTGGTGTAGCCCACGGCATTGGCCCCCCGCAGCAGCATCTGGAATGGGATGTTGGGGATGAGCTCCCGCAGCTCCTGCAGCCGCCGCCAGGGGCACTCGTACAGGAAGCGCATCGCAACATCAAACGTGGCTCCTGCGCGGGCAACGAGAGGCCCAGGTCAGCCGTGCACTTCCAGGGACCCCACCTCTGCAGCCTGAGCTCCCAGCCCCGACACCAGGCCCTACTCCTCTTCAGCATTCCCACCCCAATCCCTGCAGGCTTCCCTTTGCTCATCTCTGGGCGTCTCAGGCTCTCTGCACCCCATTTCACAGCCCTGAGCCCATCAGTTCTCTGCTATAATTAACTAAGAGACTGGTGTGTGGGGTCTCCTGACCCCCAGCTGCCTGGGTCTCAGCTCTGTGATCTTGTCCCAGCACCAGGCCTGGCCAGAGTAGGCACCAGTCACTGTGCTGATCAAATGCGCACTATCTTGTTTGTGTCTCACTGGTTCTGCAATGTCAGCATCTCTAGCTTGGAGAGTCCCCAGCGCCCTGGCCACACAGTACCCAATTCCTCCCAGGCACTATCCCCGTCCCAGACTTTCTGCCTACCTCCCCAGTTCTCTATGCTGAAGAGCTTGCTGAAGTTGTGGGCAACGTAGGGGGCGATCTTTTTGAGGTCGTGGGTTCGCACACGAGTTGCCAGCAGTGACTGGTGGGCGTCTCTGAAGGTCGTGTCCATCAGCAGCAGCCCCTGGTGGTCCCGCACTGCTCTGGCAAAGCCCTGGGGCCCCTCCCGAAGCAGGACGTCTCTGAAACCAGCCAGGGGTGGGCCTAGCACAGACCAAGGCATCAGCGCCCAGCCAGCAGGCACAGCCTCCCCTTCGTCCTTACCCTCAAGATGGCTGAATCTCACCTATGGGCACCGCAGGAACAACAGGGTCTGCAGGGTTGGGACTGGCCTTGACGGGGATCGGGGTGGTCGGGCCATTCACCATGACATGTCCTGGGGGGAAAATGAACAGAGGGTCAGAACAGGCTGGCAGGGTCTGGGCTATGAGCAGGAGTGGGCATCAGTGGAATGGAGATTCCTCCAGGATACCTGGCCCTCCAGCTGACCCCTGACCTTTCCAAAGCCAGGACTTCCTGGGTCCAGGCAGTGGGGACCTATTGAGGGCCACATGGATGGAAAAGGGGGTTCTCTAAGAATCAGAGGGAGAAGGATGGGTGGGGTGGAAGGGTGAGTAAAGCAGGAGGGTACAGGGCCAGGTTGAGGGCAGGGATGGGGGTGCTAGGAAGCTCTCTGGGCAGGGGGCCAAGAGCAAGGCGGCTGAAGGGGAGAGGAGGGCACACTCGGGGCCGAACCGAGGTAGTGCAGTAGCTTCTGGGCTCGGTTCTGTGCAGGCCGCAGCTGGAACAGATCTGGGTTCTCATCGATGAACTGGGTGTCCACGGTGCCTGCCAGGAACTGCTGGTTGTTGAGCACATTCTGCAGGAAGGGGATGTTGGTCTGCAGGACAGAGGTGGGTGGGGGGGTTGTCACCACATGGCACAGCCACGGAAAGAAGAGGCTGAAGGTGCCCCCCAGGCCGGCACTGCTTCCCAAGATCCCCATTAAAGCTAGCTACAGTCCCAGGCCTCCCTGCAGAGGCGTTCCCCATCTCTTCACCCCCCTTCGGGCTGAGTCCCCCAAGCCGTCAAGGGGCTGAGCTCACTTCCCTCTCCTGCTCAGTCCAGAGAAAGTGCTGAATTCTACCCTCCTCCTTCCTCAGAGGCAGAAACCAGCACCTCCTCCCCTCCACGTGGCCTGTGCCACGCAGCGCGAGCAGCCACCTCCTGCTCTCCCACTACTCTTCTTGAAGGGCTCCCAACCTTCGGCCACCTTCCTGCCCTCCACACACACACGCCGCGCTCTGCGGGTCTCACTACGGCCCCTCACCACAGCTGAGTCCAGGGGGCACTCCCCCACCTTTTTCTTGCTAACAGCTCCCACTGAACACTTTCTCCCTGGGTTTCCAAGACCTCTTGCCCTCCTCCCCCGCCCCAGTCCCCGATGGAGGCGCCTAGCACCCCTGCAGGATGGAGTTCTTAAGGCTGTCACTGGGCCTGTCCTCACACAACCCTCTCCCAGGTGGCCTTGTCCTGGGCCTCCAGCTCCAGAGCCAAGACCCTAATGTCAAAATGCCTTTTGACCACCTTTCCTTGTGTGGCCCTTACACAAGCTCAAATCCAAAACAGCCTCTTACCTGGCCCTCTGCCTTGTGCTGGGTGCCTCACCGTCTGCCCTGTCACAAAACCTATATGCCATCACCCCCGGCTCCTCCTCACCACTAGGCAAGCCAGATCATTCCACCGTGGCCACCTCTAGGCGCTATGACCCACTGTCTCGAGGCGTGCCTCCTGCCAGGCTCCCTCCTCATGGCCACCCACCACACTTGCCTTGTGCTTTCATATATCCACACCTTTGCACCTGTTTGGCAAGCTCTTCCTGGGAGTCTAAACTCAGAGGCCTTCTCTGACCTCACCTTCCACCCTCACATCAGGGCCGCACACACCCGGTGAGCGGCCTCATTATTTGTTGCTTGCCCGCATTCCTTACCCATGGGAGGGCTATGGGGGCAGGGGTGCTGTCTGAGGGGCCTGTGTCCATGTGCTCTGTGCACAGGGGCCCTCAGTTCTGCTCACTGAATAGCTTCATGACGGCATGAAGCTGGGGCAGAGCAAGTCCAACATAGAGGCCACAAGGGGGCCAGGGAGCCAGTGCTGTGGGGTGTCCCATGACTGAGGTCACATGGCTGGGTTTCCAGTGTGCCTGTGCATCTCCACATGTCACCCATTCGTGATCTCTGTGGGTACTTAGTAGGGACTCCAGTCCTAGCATGTGCTGCTGGGTCCTGTTGCTCCTCTGAGCTCCTACATGTCCCCCTAGTGCTCTTATAACCTGGAGCCCTGGCTGCGGGGGGTAGGAGGGTGCCTTCCCCACCAGTGTCCCACAGGTGGTCACTGCCAACGTGGCCTTGCGCCTGTCCAGTGACAGGTCTGCCTTCCTGTCCCTGAGACTAGCTCTTACCCCTCCTAAGCAGATGGGGACATTTCAACTGGACCTAGGCATGGCATTTGAAAGAACACCAATTAAGCCACTTAAAGAATCTAGAAGCACAGAGGGGTGAGAAGGAGCCTCAGAGGCTTCCGTGTCCCACCTGCATTTCTCTTTACAAAGGTCCCTTTTCCTCTGTAATGGTGAAAGGCTCTGTCATCCCCTCTGTGCTGTAAGATCCATGGAGGCAGAAACCAGGCCCATCTGGTTCCCAATGTGCCCAATCTCCCACCACAGGGCAGCTCAAGATGGATGCCAGTAAGCATGCATGTTTGCAGTGAATGAAAACATTTTTGATGGGGAGAACAAAGAAATGTCTGCTACCACAGAGCACCGGAGTTGAGCTGGACTAGACACCAGTGCTTTCATTTTACACACGGGCCAGCTCAAGCCCGGGAAAGAGCAACGGTAAAAATCGCTTCCAGCTGTCCTGAGGGTGAGCATTTCCTCTCTTCTCGCCCCCACGAAGTGCCTAAGTACACACCACTAGCACTCGGCAGGAGAAAACTGTTTTCGTTGTTAAATAACTTGCTCAAGGTTGCCTGCTGTACCAGGCAGGGTCAGAGTTCTCTGTTCCCTGAGTTCCCACCCCACCCAGCCCCTAGGAAGGTCTGGAGAGGAGGAAAGGGGTCCAGCGGAAGACTAGAAAATAACCCGAACAAGGTGGAGGCTCCCAGTTTCCCAACCGGGCGGGTCACGACGGACCAGGGTGCCCGACCGGGTTCCAAGCCCTCGGCGCTCCCACGCAAAACCCGGCTCACGGAGGCAGTAAGGCAACCACTCCACCCGCCCCCGACACACAAACCACGGGAGCCCTTTCTCGGTCGAGCCGAGCCCCTCCCGCCGCTCCCCCAAGGAAACGGGCCACACGGGCAGAAAGGGAGGGGAGCTGCCAGCGGGCGAGGTGCACCGACGCGCTGCTTCAAACAGTGCCGCCGCCTGCCTGCCGGGAAACCGCGCGGCGCAGACCAATCGGGCCGGAAGCGGAGGCCGGTTGGCTCCAGAGCGCGGGCGGGGCGGAGAGGGGCGGAAAGCCGGCGGAGAGGGAGGGGTGTGCGCGGGGGCGGGGCGCCAGCCCGGAGGCCGAGCCCTCTGGGTCTCACCCTGCAGCGGGCCTACCGGGGGCGTCGCCCCAGCCCCCACCCCCCGCAGGCCCCGTGCCGGTTGGGGACCCTCCACGTGACTCGGTGATGCAGAGCGGTTATGACCTTCAGCGTGTGTCTGTGAATGCGAGGGTCCCGGCAACGGCTGGTTTGCGTCCGGCCCTGCCTATGGGTGCGGGGACGTACGAGTGGGCGTGTGTGGGTGTGTTGGGGAGTGTGCCCAGCGACATGTGACAAAGACTTGCGTCTCGGAGAGATGGTGAAAGGGCCCGCGAGCTGGTGCTTTGTCTGGCTGTCTGCAGAGTGACGGTCCGCGCAACGGTGGCAGGAGCCCGTACGGTGCAGGATGCTGGGGCGCCAGGGTGGCCGGGGGCGCGCGCGCCTGTGCCAGGGTGAGTGCGCTGCGGCAGCGCCGGGGGACTGCGCGGCGGGCCCGCGCCGGCCCGGGCCTCAGGCGTGACCGGGAGCCACCCGTGGGCGCTGCAGTAGCCGCGTGTCCCCGTGACCTCGGGAGCCGGCCCGGGTGGATCCCTGCGCGCCCCTCCCGTCCGCCCTCCACGTGCGTGTCCGCGGAGCGCGTGCTCGCTAGCGCGCACCCGCCTGCCTGTCGCCGCCGCCGCCGCCGCCGCCGCCGCGAGCAGCGCCGGGAAAAGGTGCCGAGAACCGAGTGAGCCGGGGCCGCGGGCCCGAGAGCCATGGGCCGGAGGGCACGCCGCTGGCGGCCGGTCAGCCCCGGGCCTCGCCCCCGCGGGAGAGCCGCCTGGAGTCGGCAGGGGCCGGCCGGGCCCTCTGGGAGGCCGGCCCGCGCCCCCTGAGCTACGGACGCCAGGTGAGGGGGGCCACGGGGCACAGCGCGCGGGGCTGGCGAAGGAGGGGCGACGGGCCGCGGGAGAGGTTTGGGGGGCTCCTTCCCAGGCGGCGAAGAGGATAGGGGGTATGGTGATTCCTGCAGCCACCAGGAAAAGGAAGTTCCGGGACCCTCCCTGCTCTCCTGCCCACCTCCGCTTCCTGCTTCACGCCTCACCTTGTCCCTAGAGCCTGTCTCCCCCTACCTGCTTGGGAAATGTGACCTTTACTTCGGGGGCCTGGCCCTCAGGCCCGGCCTTCCTTCAGCCCTAGAGGGGCCCCTGAGGCCTCTGGCCCTGGGTGCAGCGGCCGCCTGCACCAGCCCCACCTGTGCCTGGGTGCCCCGTTCCCACAGGCGCCCGCCATGGCACCGCCGCTCCTCCTGCTGCTGCTGGCCAGTGGAGCGGCCGCCTGCCCACTGCCCTGCGTCTGCCAGAACCTGTCTGAATCACTCAGCACCCTCTGTGCCCACCGAGGCCTGCTGTTTGTGCCACCCAACGTGGACCGGCGCACAGTGGAACTGCGGCTGGCTGACAACTTCATCCAGGCCTTGGGGCCGCCAGACTTCCGCAACATGACGGGGCTAGTGGACCTGACACTGTCCCGAAACGCCATCACCCGAATCGGGGCCCGCGCCTTTGGGGACCTGGAGAGTTTGCGCTCCCTGCACCTGGATGGCAACAGGCTGGTGGAGCTGGGTGCTGGGAGCCTGCGGGGCCCCGTCAACCTGCAGCACCTCATCCTCAGTGGCAACCAGCTGGGCCGAATTTCGCCAGGAGCCTTTGATGACTTCCTGGACAGCCTGGAGGACCTAGACCTGTCCTATAACAACCTGCGGCAGGTGCCCTGGGCCGGCATCGGTGCCATGCCGGCCTTGCACACCCTCAACCTGGACCACAACCTCATCGACGCACTGCCCCCAGGCGCCTTTGCCCAGCTCAGCCAGCTCTCCCGCCTTGACCTCACCTCCAACCGCCTGGCCACGCTGGCGCCTGACCCACTCTTCTCCCGGGGGCGTGACGCAGAGGCCTCGCCTGCCCCCCTGGTGCTGAGCTTCAGCGGGAACCCCCTGCACTGCAACTGTGAGCTGCTGTGGCTGCGGCGGCTGGCACGGCCTGACGACCTGGAGACCTGCGCCTCCCCACCAGGCCTGGCTGGCCGCTACTTCTGGGCAGTGCCCGAGGGCGAGTTCTCCTGTGAGCCACCCCTCATTGCCCGTCACACGCAGCGCCTCTGGGTGCTGGAGGGCCAGCGGGCCACACTGCGCTGCCGGGCCCTTGGCGACCCTGTGCCCACCATGCACTGGGTTGGCCCCGATGACCGGCTGGTTGGCAACTCCTCCCGAGCCCGGGCTTTCCCCAACGGGACCCTGGAGATTGGGGTGACGGGCTCCGGGGACGCAGGGGACTACACCTGTATTGCCACCAACCCTGCTGGAGAGGCCACAGCCCGGGTAGAGTTACGGGTGCTGGCCTTGCCTCACAGTGGGAACGGCAGTGCTGAGGGTGGCCGCCCGGGGCCCTCGGACATTGCTGCCTCAGCCCGCACCGCCGCCGAGGGCGAGGGGTCGCTGGAGTCCGAGCCAGCAGTGCAGGTGACAGAGGTGACAGCAACGTCAGGGCTAGTAAGCTGGGGCCCAGGGCGGCCAGTGGACCCTGTGTGGATGTTCCAAATCCAGTACAACAGCAGCGAGGATGAGACCCTCATCTACCGGTGAGGATACACTGTGCGGCCTGAGGCCCCCACTTCGCTCCTAGCTGCCCTCCTCTGAGCTCTACCCCACCCTCCAGGCTTGGCCGCAGGTCCTGCTTCTTTTCTGTCCCTGGGCACTACCATGTTCCCCTCCTCAGCTCCTGAGCTGCCTGGGCTGTGCCGGGGCTGTAGCAGGAGGGGAGGGTCCAGCACCAGGGGGAGGTGAGCTGTGGCTGCAAGCTCTCCCAGGCGTGGCTGAGCACAGGCCTCCTGTGGTTGGTGTCCGTTTAAGCCCATAGGCTGGGCTGCACGTGCACGTTATTTCTGGCTCTGATATGGTTCTCCACCGCCTCCTCAGCCTGCCCTGGGCCTGTGTGTCAACACACATACCTGTTTGTTCCCTTGCACTGTTTCCAGTGCCAACATGCATGCCTGTCTTAATCGCTGCCCTCTTGAGGGAGCATGAGGCCCATGTGGTCCTAGAGGAGGGAGGTGTTCAGAGCTGGGACTTGGGTGCACACAGTGAGGATGGCAGGGCTGGGCTGTGAAGGGGACTTTGAGGCTCTGTGGGTGGGGGCTGGGGCCTGGACCCTGATGCCTGGACTTTGACCACCTGCCCTTGCCTGCAGGATCGTCCCAGCCTCCAGCCACCACTTCCTGCTGAAGCACCTGGTCCCTGGTGCCGACTATGACCTCTGCCTGCTGGCCCTGTCCCCCGCCGCTGGGCCTTCTGACCTCACAGCCACCAGGTTGCTGGGCTGTGCTCACTTCTCCACACTGCCAGCCACACCCCTGTGCCATGCCCTGCAGGCCCACGTGCTGGGCGGGACCCTGACCGTGGCTGTTGGGGGGGTGCTCGTGGCTGCCTTACTGGTCTTCACTGTGGCCTTGCTGGTTCGGGGCCGGGCTGGGAATGGCCGCCTGCCCCTCAAGCTCAGCCATGTCCAGTCCCAGACCAATGGAGGCCCCAGCCCCACACCCAAGACCCATGCCCCTCGGAGCCCCCCTCCTCGCCCCCAGCGCAGCTGCTCCCTGGACCTGGGAGATGCCAGTGGGTGCTATGGCTACGCCAGGCGCCTTGGAGGAGCCTGGACACGACGGAGCCACTCTGTGCATGGGGGGCTACTTGGGGTGGGGTGCCGGGGAGTGGGGGGCAGTGCAGAGCGGCTGGAAGAGAGTGTGGTGTGAGGGGGAGTCGGCCCAGGATGGGCTGGGGAAGGGGTGGAGGGTGCAGGGTGGACAGCTGCCTGGCCTTGTGGCCAGTGCTGCCTGGGAGTCCCTCCCGGTTTTACCCTCGGTACCTCAGGCCCCTTTGTGCTTGGCAAGACAGGGGGCCCTTTCCCTGCTTCTGGCCTCCAGACAGGTGTAAGGGAACAGGTCCTTCCAACAGGTGCTCACAGTCACCAAGGCAGGGGCTGCAGCCACCAAATGCGAGTCTTGTTTTTCTTTATAATAAAATTGTTGGGGACACCTCAGTGCTAGTCTCTGGTCTCATCCTGCTAGGCTCTCTGAGAGGAGACACACGGGCTGGTGGAGGCATGCCCAGAACAGGGTAGGAGCTGGGCTGCCAGCCCCTTGGAGGCAGCCCTTGGCTACCTCGTGTCTGAGCTGAGTGCTTGGGTGTGGTGCCTCCTGCCTGGAGTGGGCAGGTCTGCCCCTGGATAGCTGGACTCACTGGGTACCTGAGCCCTCTGTGCCCTGCACCTGTGCCCAGCACAATGTGGCTGGGATGTGTAGCCCCCGCACCAGCATGGGCGTTACAGCCACAGTGTGAGCAGGTGGGGGATGGCACAACCCTGGGGCGTAGGGCCTGGGCTGGCATTCTTAATTCAGCAGGAAGGTCCCCATGGATCCGGCTGGTGATGATCTTGTACATTATCTCTCGAGGCACCTTCTAGATTTGTAAAATGTTAGCCCATAGGGATTGGAAAAGGGCTTGGAATCCCACTGCCCTGCTGTCAGCCCGCGACCCTCTGCGAAGTCCCTGTCAGGGCCACAGGCCCTGAGCAGGAAGATCTCAGCTCCCAGCTGCTCTCCTGATGTTCCCGTGGCCCTGCTCTTGGCTGGTCTGGGAAGACGGAGTCAAACATTCCTTGCTGGACACTGGAGGGGCAAAACCCAGGGGTTTCTCGTACCCGCATGACCACTGCCCTCTCTAGTACCATCCCATCCCATCCCATGGAGCCACAGTCCAGGGGTGGAGTGCCCTGCTTCCTCTGGGCCCAATCCCTGCCAGCCTCCTCAAAGGTCGCTGCTCCTGGGCACGGGCTGGGAGGCGCCAGTGCCACGCATGCCAGGCATGTGTGGTTCTCCACCTGTGCCAGGCATACCCAGGGGCTTTAAGAACATGCAGGTGCCTGGGACCTGCTGTGGAGGGTGGCTGCCAGCACTCCAAGGCCTGTGGTGGTGCCTGGGCAGCAGCAGGGCAGCACACGTGGCAAGGGGTCTGTGGGCATTTCTGTGTGAGGTGTGCCATGGCCCTGGGGCAGCCCGGTGAGAGCTGGAGCAATGTGTGTATGTGCACATATACAGGTCAAGCTCGCACACGTGTGGGTTTGCACAGTGTTGACATGCTCACATGCCTGCTCTCCTAGCTCTAGAACATACCTGAATGTGACTGAAGCCAGATCCTGATGTAAATAAATGAAGCAAGGTTCTCAACAGAGAAGAGCAGGGGGGCGCGAGCTGTCCAGGGGACCATGGAGAGAGGGCCAAGGAGGCACAGGGCTGAGGGGGAGGCAGGGCAGCGGCATGCAGGCTGGCAGGGGCAAGGAGCTGCTGGGTGGCAGATGCAGGGTTGGCAGGAGGCTCCAGGCATGGCAGGAGCCAGGGGCCTCATCTGGGCGCACATTTGGGGGGGCCCTGGAGACCCCAGGAACCAGAAACAGGTGTCCTGCAGCTGGCCTCCCTGCCGTCCACCTCGCGGGCCCATGGCCCTTTTCTCCCTCCTCCACCTTCAGGGCTCTAATGTAGCGGGTACTCGTGAGCCCTCCTGGCTGCGGGACAAGTGGGGGGTCCGATGGCCCAGGGTCACCAACAAGGACAACACGGAGCAACGGGCGGGCAGGTGAGGGCTGGGGCAGCCAGGCCCCCCAGTGGGGTCGCCATGCACACTGGCCACCCAGCCCAGAAGCAGCCCCAGAACTCCATGCCAGGAAGAGCAAGCCCCCTCAGAGAGAAGTGGGCTGAGCACATGGCGACTGACCAGGTATCCCAAGGCTCCTCGGGATCCGCACAGGGACTGCCCAGCACCTGGGGAGCAGTGATCCCTCCAAGGTGGGCTGAGAGTAGAGGGACAGGAGAGGCCACAGCTCGCTTCCTCCTTCCCTCCCCCAACAAGCTGCTCAGAAAGGCTGCCCCCACAGGGCACCTGCAGGACACACCACAGGGCCAGGACAGGGCACTAAGGGGCCAGCATATGCCCCCTGGGCAGGGCAGGGAGGAACGGAGAGAAAGCCGCTCAGACGGCCACTAACCATGCCCCAGCACAGCCAGCGTGCAGTGGGCAAGGGTGGGCATCCTATGTGGCAGGTGGCCGTCCTTTGGGGACCCCCAGAACTGGGGGAGGGAATCCACCTGGCAGGCACCCCTCCCAGCAGGCTGGCGGTGCAGTCCCAGGCAGGGCCCCGTTCTCCTGCTCTTCTAGCCCCCCAGAGTCTGATGAAGGGAGATGCCCACGAATATGTGGGCAGCACTGGCCCCAAGGACAAGACAGTATATGGTTTCCATTTCATCTCTAGCCACAGACGAGGGTAATGGGGCCCAACCATGAGGCCAATGGGCATTTCAGATCCTTGCACAGCACCCAGGCTGCCAGGCCCCTAAGACGGGCCAGGCCTCCCTCTGCCGCTTTCCTTCTGGGCTGCCCCTAAAATAGTGTGCCAGGCGGAGGGAAGGGGCAGTGAGGGCAGGAGCCTGGCTCTGTGAAGCAGCCTCATCCACATGGGCTTATGCCCTAATCCAGAACATCCCCATTTTCCTGGAATTAATAATTACCTGGAGGGCTATTCAAAACATAGGCTCTGGGGCCCCACCCAAACCTGTGGGGTCAGAATTTCCAAAAGGGAGGCCTGGCAAAATGTGGATGCACACAGGCTCCAGATGATCTAAGCCGAGAGAGCAGGAAGGAGTGTGGGGCTCCTGAGAGCAGGACCCCAGACTGGCTGGGGGCCGGTGCCCCAGGAGAGCATCTGAGGGGCCCAGTCCCAGGCCAGCCCCCAGGGACCCCGCAGGCCTGGCAGCAGCAGTGACCAAGAGCAGCAAGGAGAGAACAAGCCGTGCAGCGAAGAGGAGGGACTGAGCAAAGACGGCACCCCGAGGCAGGCAGCGCCTGCGGGCCTCCCACCTTCACGCCTCGGACTCGGAACTCGGCAAGGGCTCGGCTCATCTTGGTGGCGGCTGTGGGGTGGTCTTTGCCGTGGGCGATGACTTTGACCAGCAGGGAGTCATAATGGGGGGAGATGACGGCTCCCTGGAAGGCAGAAGCATTATCCAGGCGGATGCCCATGCCCTCTCCGCTCCGGAACACCTGCAGGGAAGGCAGCAGAGTCAGATGTGGCTCCTGCCCTGGCTGGCAATGGTGTGGGCTGGCACAGGGGCACACAGGTCATCCCCAGCTCTGGCTTGTGAAGTTCTGCTTGATCTCTACTGGTGAACCCGGGGACTCACTGCCCCAGTGACGAACACTGGCACTGATTCCTCAAGGGGAGCTGACTGGGCAAGGGAACAAAAGAAGGGAAGGGGAGGCCATGTCCTGCCAGCCCCAGGGCTCCATGCCCAGTGCTCGAGGTGACAAAGCCCAGCAGAGCACAGAGGGGCCCCAGGTAGGCAGGGCCAGCCCTGCACCTCTGGCCCCAGGGCAGTATCCCACTGACCTTCCACCCGCCTGCCTGACCAACTCTTCTCCCTTTTGGATCCATTCGTTTGCTCATTCATTCCACAGGCCTCGGTGCCCACCACGTGCTGGGCAGAGTCCCTGCTTGCACAGGGCTCCTGGCAGGGTGGCAGAGGGGATACACAGGAAATACAGGGTGGTGGCAGGGACGCAGCAGGACGGGCAAGGCAGGCCAAGAGGTTGAACTGACAAGTCCCCAGTGTCCCCACTTTTCCTTCCCCTTCCTTCCAAGAGGGGAGAAGCGGAGGGACAGGGGGAGGCCTGGGACGGGTCAGGGAAGACTCGTGGGCAGAGGGACAGGGAGCAGCCTGATGGGGAGAGGGCCACAGGGGGGAGCACGGTGCTGGGGTGTCTGGGGCTGACTCCACCACAGGAGCATCTGCGGGGGTGGGGGGTGCGCAGGGGGTACTGGGGGGGAGGGTCCACCCAGCGGGCAGGGCGTACACCGCACCATGTTCCTACTTCTATGGGACCCGGGCCTGTGCTCGATAAAAAGGAACTTGATAAAATATTTAAGGATGAGCACTCAGCCGTGAGCAGGAACTGTCAGCTAAAAATATTCTGTGGTGAACCAGGCTCAGAGGAGCCAGGCCTTGTGTGGAGGTGGAGTGAGACAGCGTCGCGCCGCAGGACGCGGAAGTCGGGGGTCTGCCCGCTGGGGGGCTGGCCCGCACCTCCAGCCCCGCACTGCCCCCACACAGAATCCTGGTGGCCGCTCTCTGCCTCCCTGCCTCCGGCCTCCCAGCTCCACCCCTTCCCTTCCCTCCCCACGTGACTTGCTCCTCAGAAAGCCAGTATCCGTCTTGAGTGGTTTTCAGCCTCCTCCCTGGACTCCAAAGCAGAACCTGAGCCTCCACACGTGTCCTGCTTCCTCGGGTGCACAGGCCAGATGGGGAGGCGTCAAACCAGCAGAGCTGGCGCAGCACCGCTGACGCCCAGGATCAGAGGTGTTCTTGGCCAGTCTGAGACAGAGTGCCAGGCAAAAGGCACCCTGCAGAGGCCAGGTGGCTCATGCCCAAAGCCACAGGCCTCCTTACTGTCCCGCCATGCCCTCTCGTCCCTTCTCTGCCTCCCACCAGATGCCCACCTCCCTCCCTCATCCCGGTGACGGCCTCCATGGGGACAGCCAGAGCCAAGCCTCTGCTGCACACCTGGGTCCTGTGTTGCCAGCCACCCTCTCCCAGGACGGAAGCAGGACAGAGGCCAGCAGCTCTGCTCTGTCTTTGGGGCTCTTGGGAGAAGCCAGATGGAGGACCTGGGCTTCGTTTCTAGGGACCCTGCATTGGGCCCCCAGGTGGCTTGCTCCCTGTTCCATGTGAGTCCTCACTGGCTGTGTGGCCTGTGCATGTGGCAGTCTCTCTGTGGAAAGCACAGCTCCCGCGTATTCTGAGCCAGCTTCAGAGCAGCCCGAATGCAGGCTCCTTCATGGCCCTCAGAGCAGCAGTGTGGCAGGGAGGGCCTGCCAACAGACGGAGACCGGCAATGCTGCTGGGACATCGGCCTACCTCAATGCGGCCTGTGTCCGGCTGAAAGCTGCGCGCAGGGTCCTCGGTGGTGACCCGGCACTGGATGGCACAGCCATTGATGCGGATGTTCTCCTGCCGCAGGCCCAGGTCAGGCAAGCTCCGGCCCTCCGCCACATGGATCTGGGCGTGGACGAGGTCCACACTGCAGGAACAGGGGAGGAGCATGAGAGGGGGTGGACGAGGGGGGTGTCTGCACACAGACGGGGCCCCGGCCCGCCCGCCCAGCCCTGCCTGCTGGCTCTTCACCAACCCAGGCAGCCAGCTCCTTCCGCCTAGTCCTGCGGCCCTGCCCTGTGCCCACTAGGGCTGGGAAATGCAGTCTGAATGAGGAGAGCGTGGCGGCCAGAGGGGCCCAGCCAGGACACCCGTACCTGCCTCCTTTCTCCCTAGGGTCTCCTGCCTCCCCTAAGCCCTCCCTTCATCAAGGCTGGATTTGAAGCCTCAGGCACCCTGTTCTTAGAGTGGTATGTCCTACACTGTGTATGGGGAGGTGCAGTTTGCAAGAGAACAGGGTTGTGAGGGCCAGGCTCACTGAAATGGGGACCACAGTGTTGGAGGGTCCAGGCAGGTAGGTCAGGGTGCCATCCTCCAAGAGCTATGCTGCAGCCAGGGGCTTGTATCCACGACCCCCAGAGAAGGTCTTAAGACTACAAAGCTCTCCAAATACGCATGGTGTTATAAGCTCAGCCTCCTTGACTGCCATGTTCCTAGGGACAGCAGCAATCCAAGTGGAACAGCTGTTAAAAAAAAACTCAAGGTTTTAAATGTATTGTCTCCGAGGCCTGTGGTAAGGACAGCCTGGAAACTGCCCTGGCAGACTGTCCGCAGTGCCTTGTATTTCCTGCTAAGCCACTTCAGTAGTGCTGATGGCCACAGATCGCCACGTGACCGCGCCATGGACTAAGGCTGTGCTCTTCCCAAGCTCTCTCTCCACAGTAATGCCCTGAAAGGCTGTCATTCCTGTCAGAGGAGTCCGAGGGTCAGAGAGGCTGCAGTGACCTGGGAGGAACCTGCACCAAAATCCGTGCCTGACACCAAGTCTGCACTCCCCAGCAAGCAGACGTCTGTCCTCAGCAGAGCAGGCTCCCAGCAGGCTCAAGAGCAACAACAATTTCACAGCAGCACGATAGGGAAAAGTGTTGTGTGCCAGAGTATGACACTGGGTCATATCCCTGGACTTAGCTTTTGCCTCAAGAGAGCAGGGAGTCTGGGGGGCCTCCATGCACCTGCTGGACACAGGGGGGCACCATGCAGCTGCCTCAGTCTCAGGTGGGTCAGGGGTCAGGGAAGGAGCTGTCAGGAGAGTTCCATGGTGGGATGGACTGGCCCAAAGCCAATATGTATTTTAAAACAATGAAAGACCATTTTAATTGTTTATAAAAATGGGCAGTCTCTAAAAAATGTCTATATACTCAGTGCTGGAGAACAGGCAATCCAGGAGGCTAATCAGGCCCGCACTGCTCATCCTTCGCTCGGTGGCCCCACTGACAGCACTGGGCCCCGGGACTCTTCAAAGGCAGCAGCCGGAGGCACAGCACTGGCGGCCGCTAGCTGCGCACCCTCAGTAGCCAAGAAGGCACAGGCCACCTACTGTGTACTAACAGAGGCCCATGGAAGTCAGTCACCAAATTCACAGATGGTGGAGTAGTGGGCAGCCACTAGAAGCGTGTAGAAAGAATAATGGCCTGGGGGAAGGCCTTCAACAAATACTGAATTTAAAAAGTAGAATAAGAATTCTATACAAAACTTAGGTTTGTATAGAAAACTCAAATTATGTCAAACTATTCAGAAAATAAAGAGGGAATGAAACCAAAGATTTAGAGTGGGTACAGGCAACACAGCACAGGGCTGGAGAGAGAGGGAGGGCTATGTGACCTTGGGCAGGTCTCTTAACCTTTGAGCCTCAGTTTCCTCATCTGAAAAATGGGGACAATCGGCACATTCACCCGACACACAGAGCAGCGCGGTGGGCATCCTCAGCGTGCTAATTCTGAGGGGCGGGGCTCAATCCTTGTTATTTGCTCCTTAATTCTTAACAACCACCAGGTAAGGTTTTTGTGAGAAGTCAGCACCAGATCCCTGACCACATTCACTGCAGAGAAGAGTGAGCTGAGCTCATGGCCGCCCTGCTCTTCAGCAGCCGCCCGACGAAACATCTCAAAACACACAGGTGACACCCCTTCCCACCCTCCAGGCCATCTACAGCTCCTGGGCCTGTCCCGCGGAGCCCCGGCTCACTCGGTGATCTCCTCCGTGACCGTGTGCTCCACCTGCAGGCGGGAGTTGACCTCGATGAAGTAGTGCTTGCCGTGCTTGTCCACCAGGAACTCTGCGGTGCCAGCGTTCTCGTAGCCCACCTGTGGGGCGGCTGCGTGAGCCGGGGTGGGTGAGGCAGCCCCGAGGGGATCAGTCTCCCCCCAGGGCAGTGCCACAACAGAAGAGATGCAACAAGCCCTGCCCCAGGAGATGGCAGGCAGCCCACCAGCCCTACCCAGGGGGGCAAGTGCCAGAACCCACATCTGGGCCCTGCCTGGACGTCTCCCCAGGACTCCAAAGGGAGCCTCAGATGGCTACTAGTCTGGGGCCAGACATCAGCAGAAGCTCCCACCCACCCCCAACTGGGGCTCCTCCCCCTGGAGGCCTCCTTGGTTTGGGGCACAGGTCCTCTCCTGGACTTTTCTCATCTTTGCAAGATTTTCCAGAAAGTTCCCCTCCACTCCAACACCACCTCTGGCCATGACTCCAAGAGACATCATTTGCAAGGAACCAACCAATGATGATTCTAATTCAAAATTCAACCCTTATTCCAGTTTTACTTTGGTCCCACAAGACCACAAGCCAGATTTTAATCCACTCCCTCAAATCTGCTATGGAATGAGATGTGGCAGAAAGCAGGAAATAAGACCAAATTCCTCATATGACGTTACCAATTCTCAACTCTAAACTAGACCCTAATCAGCTCCTCTTATTAATTGTGGCTGCAGCCTCACTGCAGGGCACAAGCCCTGGTTTCAGTCTGGGGAAGGTACAGAACCTTCTGCTGTCATCTCTTCCAGAGGGCTGCTGAGGGCGTGCAGCTCTGGGAGCACAGCAGGACCAGGACCCTGGGCAGGCAGACAGGAACGGGGGCTCTCAGGCGGGGCTCCCATAGGGGGGCGGGGAGCCGGGCACAGGATGCTTGGACTCGAGTGGGGGTGGGGGTGGGAGGGCACAGAAGAGCGGGCAGCAGGACCCTGCTCCAGGTCTGGCCAAGGCAGGTGCTGGGCGGCCAGCCGCCATCTCCCACCTTCACCCACGCCCGAGGGCAGAGACTGGCAAAGGGAGGACCCTAAGAGCAAAGAGGTTGCAATAAATGTGATGACGCAGGGACGTGAAGAATGAGCAAGGAAGAAACGCCACCATCATGTTTCCAAATCTGGGCAGAATCTGCTGAATCTCATGCCTGTTGTCCCGGGTGTGTTGGTGCCACACAGAGGCTCCACCTGTGGGAAAGGTGGGTGGGGCACAGCCGGCGGTCTCTCCCTGAGGGATCTTCGCAGCCTTTCTTGACTCTAGGCTTGGCCTCTGGGCCCAGCACCTCTGCCCTCACACAGTGAGGATGCCAAGGTCCCCTCCATCTTCCAAGAGGCTTCTTCCTCTGCCCCTCCTAGGGTCACTTTGTGGCCTTGCTCCCCAGGAGGTGTCCACACGGGGACCCCAGGGACCGCAGGCTATGAGGCCTGGGCCAGCAGAAGCTGGGAGCAAGCCTGTGGTCACTCTGACCCTGAGAGCCCCTGCCCTTCACCTGTTTAGCAAGTCTGACAGAGTCGCCGGTGAGCCGGGCCCGCAGCTGGGGGTCCAGGTGGGCAGCAGGGGCGATCTCGACCACCTTCTGGTGCCGCCGCTGGATGGAGCAGTCTCGTTCATACAAGTGCAGAACGTTCCCATGCTGGTCCCCTGGGGTGGGAGGTAAACTGGGCTCAGCTTCTCCTGGGACCTAAATACCTGAATTCCCATCAGCCCCACACAACCACTGTGGCCAGTCAGTGCCCACCTCCAGCAGTGGGGGTAGCTAGAAAGAAGCTCCCACAACCAAGGCCCTGGGGCCCTGACCAGCCCGGGCCCCAGAGCCCTCCGCCCTGGGGGGGTTCCCGAGGGAGAGGCCCTGGAGCCATCCCAGAGGCCTGCTGCTGCCAGCCCTGAGATAAGCCTGCTCGGGCCCTGCCCCACACTGCAGGCAGCGGAACGCCCCCCACTCACCCAGGATCTGCACCTCAATGTGGCGTGGCTTCTCAATGAACTTCTCCACAAACAGTGCCCCGTTCCCAAAGGCGGCCAGAGCCTCTGAGTAGGCCCGGGTGTAGTTCTCCTCCAGCTCCTGGGGGGCAGGTGAGGGCCAAGCAGATGTTAAGCCCCATGGCTGTGCCTCACACTCTGCATGACCCTGCCCACCCCAGAACCCCACAGTCTGCTTTTTGGGGGCCCACAGCAGCCCAGCCAGGCTCCCAGCTCCGGGATTCTGCTCACCTCATAGCTGTGCACAACCCTCATGCCACGTCCCCCGCCTCCATAGGCAGCCTTGAAGATAATGGGGAAGCCGTAGGTATTGGAGAACTCATGGGCCTCGTGCAGGGACGTGATGGGGGCATCTGTGCCAGGGACCACAGGGACACCTGTAGAGAGACAGGCACACAGAGCTCTTTTACAAGCTGGAATCCCTGCCAAAAGCCACCAAACCCTTCCCGGGGTGGGCCCTCTTAGATAGCTGCACAGCCCCCATGGCTTGTCTGGCACACACCTGCAGCAATGGCGATGGCCCGGGCCTCCACCTTGTCTCCCATCTTGCGGACCACCTCTGGGCTTGGCCCAATGAACCGGACCCCGGCATCCTGGCAGGCCTGGGCGAAGTCTGCTCGCTCCGACAGGAACCCATAGCCAGGGTGCACTGCGTCCACATTGTTCTCCTGGGGGTGAGGGCCCAGAGAGTGGAGTACCCTCAAATTCTTTCACACAGGCCCTGACTAAACCCTACGACCCTTGCTCCTTCCCCACCTCACTTGCCATCCATCTATCTACCCATCCATCCAGTTAGTGTCATGGCCATGCATGGCACAGGGAAGGCACACGACCAAGGCCTGGCCCTCAAGAGACCCCCAGCCTGGCTTACCTTGGCCACCTTGATGATGTCTGGGATGTGCAAATAGGCCTGCACTGGGGCAAGACCGCGGCCAATGAGGTAGGCTTCGTCTGCTTTCTGCCGGTGCATCTGGCCTGTGTCCTGCTCCGAGTAGACAGCCACAGTGCGGATGCCCAGCTCTGTGCAGGCCCGGAACACGCGGATGGCGATCTCCCCTTGGGGGCAGAGGCATAGGGATGAGAACTTAGATTCCTGAGTCCTAAGAACAGCAGGCTGAAGGGTGGGGAGCTGGGTACAGTGCAGGGGCAGAAGAGAAAAGCTACGGCCGGGCTGGAGGCCTGGCTCTTCTCACAGGCCCCAGGGGCTCACCTCTGTTGGCCACCATGACTTTCTTGATGGGCTTGTACTCCAGACGCCGGACGTTTGGAGAGGCAGCAGGGGCAGTGGAGGTGCGGCGGATGCCCAGGACCCTCAGGCCCCCATGCACAGTTCGGAACTTCAGCATCTGAGGAGAAATCAGAGCCAGGTTAGAAGAGCCTCAGCACTGAGGGTGCCCGGGAAGAGCTGGGGTCCCCACAGCACTGCCACGTGAAAGCCAGCACCATGGCTGGCTCGGCTCCTCAATCCCTGGTCAAGCCCAGCATTCCTGGAGGGGGGGTGTGGGGCTGACTAGTCCTAGAGCAAGGCGCAAATGCAAACCTGGAGGGAACTGCATGCTTGCCCTATGCTCTAATACTCACCGTGGTTTTTATAGCACTTCAAGCTCTTAAAGCAATTTCAGAGGCTGACCAGAGTCCCTGGGTGACTACTTTGTGCATGTTGTCCTCTTCGATGCCCTCTGCCGGGCACAGTAGCCCTGTAGCCCCCCAAGGGTTCTGCCTGGCCAGGCAGTGAGGGCAACAGTGGATCTCTCAGGGAGCCACATCAACGTGCTGCCTTAGGAGGCGAAGCCTCTGCTCAGTTAAAACACAGATTTCTTCAAACATCAGTGGAAACCTTCCTTTCTACTGAGGGCTCCTTAAAGTGCAATAAACTTCAGATGCTATCCTGCTATCTCCCCTCTGACAGATCTCCTAGCAGCTGCCCTAATCCACTGGTATCAGCTTTCACTGGCACTGGGAGTGAGATTCTTTCCTGGCAGGGCAGCTGGAGCCACACGCCCTGGTAGTCAATAGCACACAGACCAGAGCACAGGCGTGGGGTGCCAATCGTGCCCACCCTGGTCCTGGGCACCAAATGCTTGCTCTGTTCTGGGTCGCAGGTGGGATCTGCAGCCAGGACAATGGATAGAAAGAGCCCAAGCGACTGCAAACGATAATCAAGAGGCAAAGGACTCCTTTAGGACAAGCACAGCGACAGAACAGTAAGGACAGACGGCTGGCGGACCGTTAGCGACACCTCGCCTGAAATCACGGCGGTCACATGAGAAGACTGAGGCTCCACTTTGCTTATTAAATTAGCAAGTGTTGTAAACAGTCAGAGTTGGTGCTGGAAAGGCCTGCGGGAGACAGACCCCCAAGGCCCAGTCTGGCTCTCAGGGCAGCTGTCTGCAAAGCCTGTCAAGAGCCTCTGAACCACAGGCACGCCTCAGAGACACTGCCGGCTCGGTTCCAGACCATGGCAATGAAGCAAAGTCGGCGAGGAAGCAAGGCCATGAGTGTCGGGGTTTCCCAGCGCATATGAAAGTTACGTTTACTCTATACTGTAGTCTGTTACTGTGCAGGAGTACTGGATCTAAAAAACAATGTATATACCTTGATTAAAAAATGCTTTGTTGAGTAGTGATTCTATAGCATCTTACTATGCTGATGGACAGTGACTGTAATGGGGTATGTGGGGGGGACTTGATGATAGGGGGAGTCTAGTAACCATAATGTTGCTCATGTAATTGTACATTAATAATATCAAAACTTTTAATAATGCTTTGTTGCTAAAAAGTGCTAACCATTATCTGAGTTTTCAGTGAGTCAAAATCACTGATCATGGGTCACTATAACAATATAATAATTAAGAAGTTTGAAATATTTCAAGAATTACCAAAATGTGACACAGAGACACAAAATGAGCAAATGTTTTTGGGAAAATGGCACCCATAGATTTGCTCGATGCAGGGTTACCACAAAACTTCAATGTGTGAAAACCATATTACTGCAAAGTGCAATAAAGCAAAGCACAATAAAATGAGGTATGCCTGTATTTATCCCCTTGGCCGGGTCAGTACCATCTAGAACTCCAACCTAAGGAAATACCCTAAAATGGGAACCAAAATGGATGCTTTTGAAAGATGTTCAAAGTACATTACTTACAACAGCAAATAATTACAAGCCACTTACAGACCCAACACTAGGGCATCTGTACAGACATTATATAACCATTGACCATAATTGTTTGTACATTTTTGATGACATGAGAAATGCTTATGATAGAAAGTGATGCCAAAGAAATTGTAAGATAAATCCCATGATCTTATCAAGTTTTTTTTAAGGCAAGGAGAACAACTGGGAGGAACTCTGCCGGCACGTCCCGCTGCTCATCCCTTTGTTCTGGAATTGGCACAGCCTCATTTTTGCCATCTTCTTTGTGCTTGCCTGTATGTTCTGTATTTTCTCCCCTGGGGATGTATTGATCATAATTACAAATCAAAATGAAGAAATATGCAGACGGGACAGGAAGACCTTTGGAGGGAAAAGCTAAGGGAGCCACTGCCTTGTCCCTCTAGGTGAGGTCAAGGGCTCAGCTTGCACCCTATGCAACGATCTGCGATGAGTGGGGCTGCCTGCCCCCCGCCGTGCCCACAGACAGCAGGGCCACTGCTCCTTCCTTGCCCAGTCCCTCACAGGAGCCCGCCTACAGGGGGCAGCCTCACAGCTGGTGCCATGGCACCAAGATTCTCAAACCTCCAAGGAGGTTCCAACTATTCGCAGGGAAGTCCGACCCTTCCTCCCACCTGGGTGGGTTTACTCCTGCTACCACTTAGGCACCTACCCATTGTCCTGTGGGCAGACAGATCTTTGTGTCCCACCCCCATGCACTCCCCACTCCCTTTTCCTGTAAAGAAAGGGATGTCTGGAGTTTATGCCCACAGGGTGCATGCCAAGTGCCTCCTTAGCTCACAGTCAGGAACTGAGGGAGTCTGAAATACTCCACCCAGGGCCTTAGAGACTGTCCCACATGCATTCTTGCATTCGATATCCTAAAAACACTGTGACAGGAAGGGCTTCCGTGGCAGTCCCACTTTACAAACCAAGAGCCTGGGCTCTGGGCATGAGGGGCAGCCTCCAAATGCCCCAGAGTCCCAAGCTCTGCACAGAGAGAAGAGCAGGCCTGCACTTGACACCTGAGCAGACCAGGCCCTGGGACACAGCAGCTGCCAGACAGATGTTCATGAAAGCTAAAGGTCAGGGTCCTTGGGCTGAAATTAGAGCAGAGGGGAATGTGGGGGTAGAGAGCAGCCTTGTCTGCTGGCTGCCAGCCCAGCACAAGCCTGGAGTCTGCAGGCCTGGGTCTGCCCCCAGCCCTGCCTTCCGCAGCTGTGAGAGCTGAGTGCCTGACACCTCACCTCCTCATCTGTAAAACCAGGTGACACCACCCCCATATGTAAAATTGGGGAACCTCAGTGGGTCCTCCTGGGCATCACTGAGCCCTAGCACCCTAAACGCAGCACGGTGGGATAAACGCAGGCAGCGATCCCTATCTTTCCACTGGCCTTCCACCAGACAAACGAGCACAGGAGCAGGAAGGCATCTCGCCACCACTGGGCTGCCACGCCCTGTGCCCACCTCTCATTCCTGCCAGGCCACAGCCACCACCCTCGACCTTGCTCAACTGCGCCCACAGGAGCCCTGCACTGATCTGGGGGGACCAGAAGGTGAGGTGTGGGGGGTTGCACCCTCCCTGGACCACTTACCCTGCCACCAGCCCAGCACCTGCAACTGCTTCTGCCCAGGGAGGCCACAGCTGTTGTTCTGTCTGTGGTCACTGGCCTGGGAGACAAAGTTCACAGGCCCCAGACTGCTGGAGGCCTGGGTGGCGGCCAAGGCTGGAATCAGGGGAATGGGTGCTCTGGGGCCCGGGTGGTATGGGCCAGAAGGGGAGGCGGGGTCAAGCTGGAGGCAGGTGCTACCCAGCTCAAAGCCTGCTGCCTTGCCCCCCAGTTGCAGAGCAACTGTGAGGGGAGTGATCTGAGGCAGGAGACCAGCCCACGGAGGGCCAGCAGACTCCCAATTGATTTAGGACCTGCTGCCACTTGAGGTTCAAGGCACAGAAACGCAGGCAGAGAGGGACCTGGGGAGGCTAATCAGGTGGGGCTCTCTTGTGGGTTACGGGGGCAAGGTCACATGCTCCTCAGAGCCAGGCACAGCCTTGCAAGCTCAGTTCATGGCTTAGTCAACCCCCCAACCCCCACCAGTGCCAGGCTTGGGACCCAAGGACACATAGATGAAATAAAATCCCACCTCTTTCCCAGTACACCTCCACCCATCTGGGCACCCAGCCTTCCCTCTTGTCAAATCCCACCCATTCCAGACCTGAAACCCAGGGGGTTTGGAAGCCTGGGGCTTCCAAGCCTTCCAGAATCAACATCAGCTTAGGGAAAAGCCACAGGTCAGCCATGAATGGCCACAGAGCCCTCCCCTCCAGGGGCAGGACCTTGCGGGCTGTGATGAGTTCGCTCTGGGTACGTCGAGGTTGAGGGGTCTGGAACGGGCCAAAGTTTAGGAGCAGATTCCCACTGCTCCCTAAATCCCCCCCATCCCTCAACCCTGGGGAAGGACAGGCCCCTGCGCAGTGCTTGGGGCGGAGGTGGCAGGAAGCCATGCTGGTGGAGACACTGGTGAGAACCATCAGTAGAAGCAGGACACCTAAGGTGGGAGCAGTGGATGGTGGGAAGGCCTCTGGGCACCAGACTCCCTCTTGGAGGGCTCTGGCATTAAAGGGGACCCCTGCCCTGACAGCAAGTCCTGGCATCCTGGAGTGACCTGAGTGCCAGCTTCTCTTCACAGTGGCACTTCCCAAAGAAGAGCCCCTGGAGTGCTGGCCTTCCCTCAGGCACTGCTCCAGGTGGCATCCCGGCCCACCTCACACCAGGGTAGAGAATGGGTGGCAGCACCAGTCACTTGTGAGCAGACTGGTACTGGGCCCAGGCTCCCACCATGGGTTTTTGGTTGGTAAATGGTAACCAAAACGTCCTCATTGACAGTTTGGCTGAGAATCTTAAAACTCCAAAGGCCTCACTGACCCACCTGGTACCTTGGGAAGTCCCTATTCTGTCACTTTAGCTGACCCTGCCTGAGCGAGCTGCAGCCCTTCAGCAAGGGAGGCCGCTCTCCCACGCAGGGCGCCGTCTGTTAGACCGCCCCCAATAGGAGAGGCCCCTCGGGGGCTGCAGGAGTGCGGCAGCCTCGGTTCCCTGCTTGGTGCTGGTGATGCCCGTGAGCAATAACCTCCTTTTCTGACCTCAGAGGTGGGCGAGATGGTGAGTAAGAGAAAAGCAAGCACTATGACCCAAAGAGGCCTTACCCTGGTTTCCTCTCCAGAGAGCTGACACCCTGAGAGAGGCTGTTGGCTATTTTTTGCAAATGCCAGCTGACGGATCCCCTTCCTTGGCTTCAGGTTGTGCATTAGAGACAGGGAATATGATGGCTTTGACTCTCGCTTGGGGCCCATAAACAATGCCTTGCCAGCAAGAATGGGCACAGGGAAGCAGGGAGTGTCTGAAACACCTGTTTTCTCCCCTGCTGCCTCTCAGCATGACTTCACAGACAGTTTCTACTTCTCTTCAAGCTTCAATTTTCTCCTCCAACAATGGATCAACAGGCTCAGCATTCTCCTTCCAGAAGCAGTGATGACAATCAAGTCGGGAAGGTGCCTACAGCCACCTGTGGAGCGAGGCAGGAGGCGGCGTCAACACCGTCCGCTCAGTCCTGATGATCGGCGCCCGCCGCTTCTGCAGTGTCCAGCACTCAGCACGCTCCGCCTACGTGCCAGGCTGGAGCTGGCCGGAGGGGACAAGCGGTGGCACCTAGGCAGAGCCTCCTCTCTCCGAGGCACAGGGCTGCGAGTGGGTGCTCCGCAGTGCTGACTCGGGCCCCCCCCCCATCTAACTCTCTTCACTGATAAGGAACCAGGAGCGGTGGGATTAAGTATGGCCATGGCCACCTAGCAGGGCCCGTGGTGAGCCAGCTGGTATGCCTCTGACCCACTGGGGTCTATGGGGTCATTACCCAACTAAAGGAATCAGCTGTGGCTTTCATCAGAAGCAGTGTGACAGGCACCTGGAAACCAAAAACCCAAACACCCACTTTTGATTAAAACCGTGCTGGCAGCTTGAAACCCAGCAGAGCCACCAGTGCCCTCCGCACTCCCACTGGAAAGCAGACTGACAGGGCTGGCGATCGTGGGTCCCCAGTAAACTAGGGTAGTTTCAATTTATCCAATAACTCGTTAAATGTCACTAGAAGTCCCACTACTTCAAACCTAAGCAACGTCTCCCAGGCTGTGTCTTGCAACCAGGAGCGGCACAATGTCAGGCCATCACTGTCCATGTTTATGGCCACGGTACTCAGTGTGCTGTGCTCCCAGCAGAGCAGTGCTGTGGGGATCAGGGTAGGACAGCGATCTGCATGGCTGCTGTAGTCTAGCAGCAGGCCCTGGAACGTTCCTTTGAAAATTTGTACTGCTCCACCCAAAATACCACTGTTCTTCCTACAGCATCTTCCACAGCCTCAGAGGGCAGCTGTGGGCAGGAGGCACAGAGGAAGGGAAAGCTCGGCCCTGCGTCTGCACGGCTGGCTGATGTGTCAGCTTTGGAAGCCCACCGTGTGGCCTGCCAGCCCCAAGTCTCTCAGCGTGTCCATCTCAGAGGTGCGCCTGAGAGCAGCCAGAGGGGTGAGAAGGGAGAGCCAATCAGAAACGGGCCCGGGAATCTCCAAATTAACTATCACCAGTGAGGCTCCTAACCATCTACTTCCTATCTCCCCAGCACCAGCACCCCTCAGGCTCCATGCCCGCCCTCAGCCTCCTCAGCAGCTGCCAGCAACAGCAGGTCAGAACCAGAAGGAAGGAGTTTTTGGCAGAGGCAGCCTCTGACGGATGGGCCGCTCAGGAGCCCCCCCACCCAGCCCCAGCAGCTCTGTGCTGTCCTAAACGGGTCCACTGGGCGACCCAGGGCTGGAAGCCAATGGGAACAGGGGAAAGGAAAAGAATGCACCTGACTTTATGGGCTACAGCAGCCGATATCAAAGCGCCCAAGAGAGGACAGACCAGGGCTGGGACTTCTGGGTGGTGGGAGCTGAAGGGAGTGCACGAGAGACACTGGAGGTGACAGAGGAAGAGGAAAAGCTACGGAGGGAAAGAAGGAGAGGCGGAGTGGAGACAGCTCCCGGGCGGGGGCAGCACAGCTGACGCTCCGTGCCTGTGCATCCAGGCCCCACCAGGGTGGCTCCGTGTCACCCCTGACAGCCCCTGGTTTAAGATGGGGCAGGGACACAGCCGTGACATGGGCACCTGGCACTGGGAGGAGATCTGTGGGCCCAGACAGAGGAGGAGCAGAGAAAGGAGGAGAGTGAGGGGTGAGGGGTGAGGGGTGAGGGGTGATCAGGGCCTGCTGGGCAGTGGCCGGGAAATAAAGCCACAGGCACACCTTGGAGATACTTTGGGTTCGGTTCCAGACCACAGCAATAAAATGAACATCTCAATAAAGCAAGTCAACTGACTGTTCTGGTTTCCCAGTGCATATAAAAGTTACGTTTACTCTGTGCTATATAGTCTTTTAAGTGCACTGTAGCAGCATTATGTCTAAAAAACAATGCATACCTTAATTTAAAAACTTCATTATAAAAAGTGCTAACCACCACCTGAGCTTTCCGCAAGTCATGATCACTGCTCACAGATCACCCTAACAAATATCATTGTCATGAAAACATTTGAAATATTGAGAAAATCACCAAAATGTGACAGAGACAGGAAGTGAGCAAATGCTGTTGGGAAAATGCCACCTGGAGGTAAGTCTAACGCAGGGTTGCCACAAATCTTCAATTTGTAAAACATGCGGTATCTGAAAAGTGCAATGAAGCGAGGCGCGCCCGTGCAGGGCCAGGGAGGGCAGGGAGGATTCCAGGGTGAACACTGCCCCCTGGTGCAAAAGGAGCCTCCTGCCGACCTGGGCACCAGCCCAAGAGCCAGACCGGCTGGGCAGGGCTCACTGTGGGAAGGCCACCGCCCCTAAGTTCTCCACCTGCTCTAGGACTCGCTCAAGAAGACACCCCCACCTCCTCAGCCCCCTCAGCTGTCACTGTCTCTGCCACATACTGCCCTCCTGCTTGTGGGGGCGCCCTATGGGTTCCTGTCTGTGTCCTAGGGAAGAAGCATGTAATGTTATAATGATTTGATGACCTGTCTCACCAGATGCTGAGGAGATAGGGTCTTTGACCTGCCTAGCACCCTGCACAGTGCCTGATGCTGAAATTAAGTGTCTGGGGAATAAATGAATGAATGAGTGAGTGAATTTTCCAGGCCACATGAGTCTGCTGAGTAATGTGAGTCCAGAAATATGCTGGAGCCTTGGGCAAAGATTAATAAGGCCTGGCTCCTCCCCAGAGCTGCATCCACAAGTCAGTGGGCACACCAGCATCCTTACCCATAGACTGAGCCCAAAGTGTGGACAAGGAAAGTCAAAAGTGCCTCCCAAGCTGAGGGTGAGAGCCAGGGGTGCATTTCAGGGCTAAGCAGGGTGACAGGCACTAAAGACTCAATTTCAAATGTTGGATGGACAAACAATGCTTTGTGGCCGGGGGAGGCACCAGACCACAGTAGGCAGGCAGGCGGTCCAGGGAGGCTCCCGGCCCCTCCCAGCACACCCACTGCAGCGGGAGAGCAGCACGGGCCCTCCTCCCCTCTTCCTCAGAAGAGCCAGAGTGGTCCCTGTAAAGCGCACCTATCTCCTCCCCTGCCTGGTCTTTGGTCACATCCCTGGACACGGAGGGTGCAGCCCACCCCAGTGCTGCGTGTGTGCAGTTCTAAGTTTACCCCAGTTCTGAGGTGGCAAGAAAGCAGATGGCCAGTGTATGGGCTGAACCGCGTCCCCTGAAGGGATATGTGGAGGTCCCAACCTCAGAATGTGACCTTAGTTGGAAATAGGGTCTTTACAGAGGCAATCTTTGAAAATGAGGTCTAGGGTGGGCTCTAATCCAGTATGCTTGGTGTTCTTATATAGAGGAGAAATTTGGACACAAAGACATATAGAGGGAAGACAATGTGAAGACACAGGGAAGGAGACGGCCTTGAGTGGAGAGATACATCTACAAGCCAAGGATTGCTGGAAAACACCAGAAGTTGGAGGAGATAAGGAAGGACCCTCCCCTAGAGCTGTCTGAGTGAGCATGGCTCTCCCGACAGTTTAATTCTGGAATTCTGACCTCCAGACTGGAAGACAATAAATCTCGGTTGTAAACTCCCATTTTGGGTACTTTGCTATGGCAGCCCTAGGTCACTAATAGGACCAGATTCCCCAAAACGACCAGACCCTAAACCCAGGGGCAGGGAGCGCAGGGTGGTAAAAATGTCCCCTTCTCTCCTGCTCATCCTGATGCAGCCGCAGCGGGGGCCTTCAGAGCATGGAGCTACTCAGGACTGTGAAAAGCAGTTGCTTGGGCCAGGAAGACTGCGCATGTACACAGCACACAGCTGTTTGGACAGCCGGCAGTCAGCAGGACGACCTCTGGAAGCCACCAGGGACCATCTTCCAGAACAAGGAGGAAGGAGGGAAGCGTTCTGGCGTGGGGACAGCTGGAGCAAAGGCGAAAGCACACAGCCTGCTGCGTGGCCACCGAGGTGGGGGGCAGGGAGTGAAGGTGCTCAGGAGGAAACCACGGGCAGACACGAGACACCGGGCCGGCTGCACCCTCCAGTCCAGGGATGCGACCAAAGACCAGGCAGGGGAGGAGACAGGTGTGCTTTAGAGGGACCACTCTGGCCGTTCTGAGGAAGCTGATTCTGAGGAGTGGAGGAGGATGCTCTGACGTAGGCAGAAGGTGAGGACTTAGGACACAGGTCAGGGCAATATCACCAGCACCTGTTAGATGAGGAGGGAAGAAGCCACAGGTGAGCATGACTCTGCTCCTGATCTAAGGGAAGGGTGGAGGGCGAGGACGTCAAGTTAAAGGGCACAGAAGCAGACATAGGTAGAAACCTGCAAGCTCTATTCTGACCCTGGTGAGCCTGAGTTAACCGCAGGCTCTCAGGCTGGGCAGGGCAAACCAGCCACTGGGGTCTAGCGTTGAGGGAGAGATCTGAGCAGGAGAGGGAACGAGTTATCTCCAGCCCAGAGGGATGCCCAGGGATGGGCCAGGGCTGTGGGAGTGTCATGAAAGCCGAGGATTTGAGGAGCCATCATCACTGAAGGCAGCAGAGCTGCAGTATGGAATAAAAAAGCAGCCACCATATTCAGCAGCAAGGTGGCCACTTGTGGCCGTAGTGGTGGCTCAGAAAGGTGGGGGTGAAGGTGAGGGCCGGAGTCAGCGAGAGTGAGTTAGTCTCCAGTGCAAGCTCCCAGGTTTGGGCAAGGACTTCCAGAGCACTTAGAAGAGAAGGGCAGGATGAGCGAGGGTACCAGGATCAAGGAGTCTTCTTTCTTTCAATAAAACATTTAAAAACTACAGATGGCACAGCTGGTAATATAAGACCCATGGGCCCTGAATAAACCAATGTCCCTATGCTGATAGATTTGCTTCATGTCTTACACTAAGAATTGGGACTGGTGAAATGTAGTGGATCTGACACAGGGGTTCATTCCTATCCCCCTCTGAAATCCCACTAAAATATTGGCAAAACGGTGTGTTTCAGAGAGCACAAGCCTGCAAGGACACAGAATGGGAAAGCC